TGCATATGACTAGTGGAACAGCCAAGGATGAATCGGACTACCACCAAGTGCATGAAATGGACAAAGCAAGAGTGTGACTCGTGATAACACTTGCATATGAATAGTGGAACGGCCAAGGATGAATCGGACTATCACCAAGTGCATGAAATGGACAAAGTAAGAGTGTGACGAGTGAAAACAAATGTATATGACTAGTGGAACATCCAAGGATGAATCGGACCATCACCAAGTGCATGAAATGGACAAAGCAAGAATATGAGATTTCACAAACACTAGAATGAGTACAAAACAAAGTTGCGATTTATCACCAAAGGAAGAACTAGAGAGAAAGTGAAGGGAGAGTGAGTGAAAATCTCTCTCACGCATGAAACCACAAAATAGAAAGTGGCGATTCACATGGGAGTGGATGAATGGACTAAACAAGAGTAAAAGATCATCCAAAACACTAGAATGAACATAAATCAAAGTTGCGATTTGCTACCTGGTAAGAAAATGGAGAGAAAGTGAAGGGAGAATGAGTAAAATTCACTCTCATGCATGAAATTACAAAATGGAAAGTGGTGATTTACATGGAGTGAAGGAATTGACAAAACAAGAGTGAAAGATCATATAAAACACAAGAATGAGCACAAGCCAAAGTTGCGATTCACTACTAATGGAAGAGATTGAGAGAAGGTGAAGGGAGAGTCACTCACTCTCATGTATGAAATCACAAAATGGAAAATAACGATTTACATGGGAGTGAAGAAATGGACAAAGAAGTGTGAAAGATCATCCAAAACACTAGAATGAGCACTAACCAAAGTTGTGATTTGCTACCAAGTGAGAAAATTGAAAGAAAGTGAAGGGAGAGTGGGTGAAACTCACTCTCATGCATGAAATCACAAAATGGGAAGTGACGATTTACATAGGACTGAAGGAATGGGCAAAATAAGAGTGAAAGATCATCCAAAACACTAGAATGGGCACAAACCAAAGTTGTGATTTACTACTAAGTGAAGAGATGGAGAAAAAATGAAGGGATGCATAAAATCACAAAAATGAAAATTGACGATTTACAAGGGAGTGAAGGAACTGACAAAACAAGAGCGAAAGATCATCCACAACACTAAAATGAGCACAAACCAAAGTTGCGATTTGCTACCAAGTGAAAAATGGAGAAAAAGTGAAGGGATGCATAAAATCACAAAATGAAAAGTGACGATTTACGTGGGAGTGAAGGAATGGACTAAACAAGAGTGAAAGATTATCCAAAACACCAGAATGAGCACAAACCAAAGTTGCGATTTGCTACCAAGTGAGAAAATTGAGAGAAAGTGAAGGGATGGTGAGTTTCGCTCACTCTCATGCATGAAATCACAAAATGGAAAGTGGCGATTTACATGGGAGTGAAGGATGAGTCCATGGGAAGACCATTACTAGTGACAAAGCCTCGTACTGCGTACTCTAAGCTTTGGAAAGTATCTATGGAGAGGGAGAAGATGAGGAAGAAGAACAAAAGAGAATGTAGGTAGGAGAAAAAGAAGGGGGGGAAGAAAGGGAAGGGGGGGAATAAAAATAATAATAATAATAAGAAAAAAAAAAAAAAAAAAAAAAAAANAAAAAAAAAAAAGGAAAATTAAAAGAAAGACGAAGACAAAGAAGAAGAAGAAGAAGAAGAAGAAGAAGAAGAAGGAGACGAAGAAGAAGAAGAAGAAGAAGAAGAAGAAGAAGAAGAAGATTTTCCGTCTATCCACTCACCTCCTCTAGTATCTTGGTGTTGAAGTATCAATCTTGAAGAAGTTTTCCCTTACTTGGCTATGACTCCCTTCTTCCTCAAGCCTTTACAATTCCTCTTCCTCAGTCCTCTCCTAGCTATGACAAACTCCTATCACCATTGCCTATGGAGTCCTTCCCTGAATGAGGGTTAATAAGACTCTCTCTAGTTTTTCCTTCCTCACAGTCTGGGGGCTATGGCGGGCCACCCTGCTAGGTCAGTCTCACTACCACCAGCCTCTAGAGCTCCCAACACTAGTCCACAGTCTCCTATAAACTCCCAAACTGCTTGGGGTTCCCCTCTCCTTACTCCAAGTGAGATAAGTGCTCCTATGCGCTCAGCATGGGCATACCTCATGCAATTGTGAGTGTGCTATGCTGCTCTCTCAGCTTATGTAGGCTGAAATCGGAGTGTTTGTCAGCCCATGGGCCGCCCTGTATGCCTCCAAGTGAACCGAGGTCCCCCCAAGGCAAATACCCACCACTAGGCCTCTTCGGGGGTACCTAGGCCTCATTTTGGCCAAATACATGCAGTCTGAGTGGTAGGTAAGGGGCAACCCCGCTTGAGAGAAAAAGGCCTAGTGAGTTTTTTTCTCGATTTTTTCAGTTTGTACCCTATTTTTGGTAGGCCGAGGTATTTTTTCATGCCTCGGTGCCTTTTCAACCTTGGATCTGGCTGAGATCCAAGGCCAGTAATATTACGTGTCACCCCCAAGTAGCCCTTTCTTCAAATTTGAGTCCCTAAGCTGAATTTTTCAGTTTTTTTTTACGTCTGGCCTTCTTTTTGGGCTAAATTTTGTTTTTTTCTTTCTTTTGTTTCTTTCAATTTTGGGTTGCCAACTCATTCCGGAGTTGGCCGTTTGAGTTGACCTTATCGAGAATGGCCATATTCTCTCCTTCAATCTCATATCCATGGCCCAAAAAAAAACGGTCATATTCCTTTTTCTCTCAATTTCGTCTTTTTAGTTCAGATATTGCAGAGATAATGCCCCAAGGGTCATGTCTCTGCAATTCGGATTGCCCTCCTCGAATCTTGGAGGGATGAGGTCACAATAGGGACCTGCCAGTCCTTAATGTGTCAATCCCAACTGGCCGGCACATTCTCCTCAACCCTTTTTTCCCCCTTTGTCTTATTCTCCATCCATTTTCTTTTATTTTTTTCCTTTTATTTTATTTATGATGTGACAAGTATCAAGTGGTTGTTGAGTCTTTTTCTATGCCATGGATCTTCATCTATGGCCAGATTCAGACTCAACAGTTGACCGTTATATTTCGGATTATAATAGTGAAGCCCCCACACTAAAAGGGGCTTCATTTTGTCTCCGTTAGTCTTAATTTTGATCCCCCTTTGCTCCAATTTTCTTTTGACAACCTTTTTCCTTTGTTTAGCCCCTTGGGGCTATATTTTCTCATGCCTAGCTAGCCCGAGATATCTCGGACTGCTGGGCAACCCCTCCATCATCATTATTTTGTTTTTTTTTTCTCTCCCGGCGCTCCCACTTGATCTTACTAGTGCTTGCACTAGTGGTGTTAATATTTTTCACCGTGTAGATCTTGATCTCGGCGGTGTTGCTTCCTTTGCATGACCATCCCTTATGTTTATTCATGGTTCCCCGATGATATCCCAAGTCCCCTCCACTTTCCCCATATTAGTTCCATTTTATTGTCCCACCGGTAATCCCTTCGGCGCATGTCTCATTTTTCGACTATTTTTATTTGGGCTCATTTTGTCTCCGGCATCGTTCCGGACGACGTGCTATTTTTATTTTGGAACCTCCTTGTCTCTAACAGTTCCAATATCCCTTCCTCAAGAGCCTCATGTGCGCCGATTATTCTCGGTCGCGATATTCTCATGGTTGTCGTTTACCGTCTCTACTTGCCTCATGTCGAAGTCATTATCTTCTAGCATTTTGGGTTTGTCATGGCTCATTTTCTCTTGGCCTAGGCATCCCTATGCAGTCCGTTATTTCTCGGACTGCAACTGTGGTCATTTTCCTAGTCCCACAACCCCACAACTTGCCGCAAATTGAAAGAAAATGAAACGCTCAATTTTCAAGTGCATCCCGGCTCAATATTGGCTTCGGATGCAACTAAAGTATGTGTTTTCCCTTCCCCATGCAGTCTGTTGTAACTCAGACTGCAATAGGGGTCAATTTTTTAGTCTCATTGCCCCACAAATAGCCCAAAATTAAAGGAAAAAGAAATGGCTAACTTTCAAGTGCATTCGGGCTCAATATTGACTTCGGATGCACCTAAAATATGTGTTTCCCCTCCCCTATGCAATCCGTTGTATCTCGGTTGCATAGGGTCTTGATTTTCCTTGATTTTCTATGCAAAATTAAAAAAAAAAATCAATGTTATTTGCAATCGCCATATTCAAGAATGTATCTGGTAACGAATGTATCTTCTCAATCGGTCGTTTTTAACCGGTAAGACTTTTTTTTTTTTTTTTTCCCCTCCTTTTTGGACAATAGGAACCTGTCAGTGGAAGTCCCTACTGACAGCCAACTCACTCACTCCCCCTGCAGTGAATGTCTCGTAGTTTGTCTTTGGTGTTTTTGGCTAGGTATGGTCTCGTGAAAATTTCGATGATTTCGCTATTTAAAAACGGTGTTGTATGCGATAGGTAATCGCTTTTTTCTGTCCACTGATGAGGCCGTTTCTGGCGGAACGGCCGAAACGCGTTTGGACTACCGCCAGTTGGTGCTCTTTGTACTCTCACATATTTTTGAACAAGAGTGTCTAATTTTTGCGTCTACCTGTCTATGGCTTTCTCTGCCCACCTCTGGTCCTTCTCTCTTTCTTTTTCGTTCCAATTCCTCTCCTGCTCGGTGAACATCTCTGTTTACTTTGTCTCCTTTCGTCTTTGATACCTTTCTCTGTTGTTGCTACCAGTACTCATCTTCGTTTCTCACTCACCCTATAATGCCCTCGAGGCTTTGCGTATTCGGTGTTGCGTCCCTTTACCTGTGGTAGCGGCCTAACCACTTCGTCAGTCGCAGACTGGTGTTGCCGCACGATAGAGCGTGGTTTCACCCAAGCTCTACCCCTCCCTTCGGGGTTATTCGTAACATATGCTTTATTGAACGCTGAAGTCCTCTTGCATTCATATTTCTTTAACTCGTCTTCCTCCTCTTCTTTCTTCCTTTCCTTTCCTCACTTGCTTCTTCTTCGTTTTTCTCTTATCCATTGTTTGGCTTCTGTTATTTACTTCCGATTGGTAATTCGATGTCAGTCGCGTGACCCGTGTCTCATTGATTCGTGCTTTGTTGGTTGTCTTTCCTGTTTTGTACGAGAACTTGCTCATCGTCTTCCTGAATTGAGAACCAACGCTGTCGTTAGTATCTTCGTGTGGGCTCTTCCTACCTGCTGATATGGCGGACGGTGGACAGTTTCCCCCGACGGAGAGGGTCTGCTACCACTGCTGACAGCAAGGACACTATATCAGAAAATGTCCCTATCTGCATCGTCAGGATGGCTTGATTTCAGGAACTCTGGTGTCTCGGGTCGCTCCAGGTCCCTCGTATCTTCCTCCCCCGCCTCAGGCGCAGCTTCAAGCATCTTTCTCTCCTTCGGCGCCACCGCTGAGTCAAGCGCTTTCACTTACCCTCCCTTCGGCTTCCTTGAGTGCCATCGTGCCATATCGCGCCAACTCTAGCACGGCGACCTTACCTTCAGGGGCTGCTTGGGCTCCAAGGCCGCGATCTTCCGACTGAGAGGTTGTTCTGCTATTAAGGGAGTTGGTGAATGACAGGAGGGAGGAGAAAGACCGGCGTCGCGAAGAGGATGATCGCCGCTTACGAGAGGAACAGAATCGGATCATGAAGGAAGAAGAGAAGAAGCGACTGGAGGAAGAAGAGGCTCGTGAGGCTGAGAAGGAGGCGAGGATGGCTCGCTTAATCAACTCCAAAATGGAAGAACTCGACAAGCAGCATCAAGCTAGGACGGAGGAGGAGAGCAAGAAGATCTGGAAAGAAATAGAGAAAGCGATCTCGGATCCTGTTCACAGCAAGAAGAGTAAGGAGATGGTCATCGATGTTGCAGACAACCGGAAACGTGGGCAACTGGAGATGGAGGGATCTCCCCCGTTCCAACCGGCGAATGGGAAGCCCCGTGCGACGGGACCTACCAAAAATGTGGGCGCTACCTTCAGCGGGATCGATGCTGGACTGCTGCTGATGGAGATTGACAACGTCAAGCGCTCTCAGGATTCTCAGGCGAATGTCATGCGTCGTGTTATGGACCTTGTAGAGAAGCTCAGTGCCTCCATAACTTCTATCCCCGTCTCTGCTCCGGGCCCGGCTACTTCAGATCCACCACTTTCTTCTCATCCCCCCCCGCCTCCATCTTCATCTGCACCCCCGCAACGTTCTACCAATCCTCCCCCTCCTCATCCTCCTCCACCTCCTCCTCCCCCTTCCCCACCCCCTCCCCCTCCCCCTCCCCCTTCCCCTCCTCCTCCTCCACCTTCGCCCCCTCCCCCTCCTCCCTCCGTTGACAATAGGAAGAAGGTGTCGGGCTCTGAAGCCTGCTCCTCTCGAGGGAAGTCTGTCGATAAGACTCCGGGAGTGAATCGCTTTTCTGCAAGACTTGCCGATATGTTTGCTTCTGTTGCGGGTAATCAGGTACGACGAAGAAGATCGTTGTCCCCACCTAGACGATCGCTTGGAGATGAACCCCTAGGCTTCAATCGAGTCATTCCGGGGAAGAAGGCGGCGGTTGCGTCTTCCGGAAAGGATGGGTGCGTCAGATACGTGGAAGATCTCAAGAAAAAACTCCTGAACAAAACGAAGTATCAACTGGAATCACTGTGCAAAGCCGACAACATTAAGTACTTTAACAAGAAACAAGCTTCGACTGACCTTGCTGAGATCAGAGCGCGTGGTGCCTACGGCGACCAATCTGAGGACAACGGCCTTGACAATATCGATGCGGATATCCAAGAGGAAAACCCCTCTTGATGATTTGTAGATCTTACTGATCTATGATACTACTGGGATCTTACTGTTAAGTTAGGTTCCAACCACGTCTTTCATGGTGTTCGGAAAGAAATGTTGGAAGCCTGGGCGCGCTTCTTATTTTTGTGTTTGGCTTTTTTCAAACAGTTTGCATGGGTGAACAAGTATATTGGTATTTGGTCTGATCTATTTCACGTTGGCTACGATCTCTTCCTTCCCTGCTCTTCATGCGTCTATGGTTTGATTTCTCCTTCGTTTCGTCCTACATACGTAGGCTCGACGGCCCGTTCCATCTCTGTTCGATGGTGTGAACACGATAGTCTATCTCTTAATGGGACGAACCGTAGGAACCATCGACTTCGACAGCGGTTTAGAAAGAAAGGTTCCTCTAATTACGTTGCTATTCCTGTTGCTTTTCCGTCTGACGAGGAGGTTCGGAACGTGGAATCTTCCCTTATTTCGCTTTGGTCTCCATCTCTGAATTCTCGAGGGAAGCGTAAGACGAACGGATGCAAGCAGGTAGGACGCAGGGAACGTCTAGCTTTGACTCGGAGGTTATCAGGTTCAGCTCGCTGCTCTGACTCTGACCACCGGATAATCACTTTTGAAGTATGTCCTGGTAGTGCACTCCTTCCCAGCACTCATTCCCGCCCTTCCTATTCTTTGATTTCCTCCTTAAACGCCTGCATCGATTCCAATGTTTCGTATGATAGTGTTCGTTGCTTAGGAGGAAATATTTTTTGTGATGCTTAGAGTCGAATAGTTAGAATTTTTTGTCTCTCAACTGTGGAGGTGAATGGACGCACGACTCTGTTAAAGTTTCTTAAGTATGAAATTTTGGCTGGTGGATTTTTGTATTTGATCTGCATTCGCCGCCACTTCAACGTCAGACTCAGAAGGAAATTTGTTCTTATCACGCTTTTGCAACTACCATGGACTAGGAAGTTTTTGTCTACCTTTTCGCTTCCTAATTTGATCAAGCTATTCAACTCGATTTAAGTGTTCTTCACTAACCGAACAAAAAGGGCATTGAAGGGAATTATCGGACCACTTGTGACTAGAAAAGCAGGATTTCCTTGTGTCAGTCCCCTCGTTATCAAGCTCAAATATGATGATTATGTTAGTAAGGTTGCAGTGGCCAATGCCGCAAAAAAGATTATTAGGAAATGCGTCAGTGTTGACTGCGTCGCTGATTTCCTCATTTCTAGAATAAAGGTCGTATGGACCATGAGTAAGTCTACTGGTAAATTGATTCACAATCATCGTGTCTGCGCAAGACAAATAACTGATATTTGCTTATGCTCTCGTTCCCCACCTGAGTTTCCTCGCAATGACAACCATCGTGTCTCTTTTCGGTTTTCTGAGTTAGATATTTTTCCCCACACCCTCAAGAACTCTAACAACGTCTGTAAACCACTCTCGCACATCTCTGCTAAGAACGTCAAAGGTGCGGTCTATTCCTCTTTGTTCAGGGTGCCCAGAAGTTCTTTTGTGCGGATCCAAGAATCAGTTTGGTCGTCTTGCTTCAGACAATATTCCAGGTCTTCGAAATCCCTGTGCCTCTCTACCAACGATATGTTATGGTTGGACAAACTGGATAATCTGGCGGTTATGCCGATTGATCATAACTCCAGCGATACGTATGTCTGCTGCAAGCTCATTTATTATGACGCCATGAGACAACTCTTCTTGAATAACCAGGGCTTTGTGATAGATTCAAGGGATGAGACCCAGATTCTGGCAGGTATTAAACTAGAGTATAAGATGTCACGATGCTCTCAGCTCGCTCCCTGGGACTCTAAGGGTAGGATTGGTTCTTGCTATGTGATACCTAAGCACAAGGATATAGCACGATGGCGGCCCATCTCCCCCTCCTTTTCCGAACCAACCTCCAAGTCGTGTCGTCTCATCGGTCGTACTATCAACTCCTTACTATGGGCCTTGCCACGCCAACCCCACTTCAACCTGAGATCTACGACCTTGGTTAAGAACAAAGTTGTGTCTTTCAACCGGGTTCTGAGTAGGCGCCCAGAAGGGTTTCTTCCGTCTGCTAGTTTTGACATCAAGGAAATGTTTACAAAATTACCCCATGCCTCCATTCTGCAATCTGTCGATTGGATCACTCGTGTGTTTACTGACAAAGGTGTCACCACCATCGGCATCAACAAATGTGGGGAAAAAACCTCCTTCTCAAAGAAGACACCTGGCGTTGGATGGGTCCGCATCCGACTCTCCTCTGTGGTCAAAGTTGTTCAGTTCGAACTCGACAACACGTTCGTCAAGGCGGGATCTTCAATTTTAAGACAGATCATCGGTGTTCCCATGGGCAAGAGCTCTAGCCCTTCTTTAGCTTGTCTGCTATGCTCCTTCAACGAGTTTTTGATGATTTTTTCCTTAGGTTCAGACGCTCGTTTCCTTACTGGAATGCGGATGTCGGTATTTTTCTATCCTTCCCCAGAATTTCTCCCCTTTACCTCAGGAAAGTCTGCACCATCTATTCTGCCTTTCTGAGAACTTATGATGATAACCTCTCCCTTTTGAGAACAGATGATGGGTCGGGCAGCTGGGATTTTCTCGGTTGTCGAATTACCTCCTCTAGTCTTCTACCCTCTGTACGATGCATCGCCACTATGAAAAACCAAAACTTTATTTTTTCTACCCATCCCATTCGTATTCTCTCTACGCAAGACTTCCTCTCCTTCGGTCCGCCTCAGCTCAAGAAGGGCGTCCTTTTGTGCCACTTCAGCCGAATTTTAGCCCACTCCTCCGACAACAGAGGGGTGGGCTACAGTTTGCTCGTTCTGAGATGGGAGCTCCGACTTAAAGGCTTTCCCAAGCACTCTTTTCTCAAGGCTCTAAAGGGGTTTTCTAATAGCAGGGGTGGAGTCTGGGACGCATGGGTTTCGACTTTCTCCTCCATTTAATCTATTTCCCCTTCTGGTTCTTTTCTTCAGAACATTGTTCTTTCCTCTGCCTGCTTTTTTCTTTTCAGGCCTGCCCGCTTTGTTCGATCTCATTTTTTTTAGGGGCTTTGAAACCTGCCTTTTCTATTCTAACTGACTTCCTCTGTCTTTCCTGCCCTACCACCTTGAACACCCGTCCTCGCCTACCGTTACAGTATTTATTGGCCTCACCCAGCGGCATTCCATCTCCCGTGGTACCTCTCAATACCGGAGTAATTCTGGCTACTGTCTCGCGGCACCTCCCACCTTTCAAAAACTGCAGCTACACGGACACCCACTGGGCCTCTGCTTGCGCTCGCATTTACTCCCTGTCCGCTCTGTGACTCCCAATGACCTTTGACGATAACTGTCTCTTTCCCATAGCCACCTTAGTTCTCCTCGCCGGTTCCCCATACTGCTCCAATTTCTATCTATGGGGGTTTCCTCTCTTACGGTGGTGTGCATTCGCCTTCAAGATCTCTCCTCGCAGGCATTCAGTGTCGCGAACGTGCCGTCCCTGAGAGTAGTATTCTGATCTGACCGAGTTCGGCTCCCATCCTACGGTTTGCAAGAACGTATTACTCCGCCCCTGACCATCCGTTACTCCTCCCTCGGCCTTCACTCACTTCCTCGATCATCTCTCTCTTTCTTTCTCTCTCTCTCTCTTTCTCTCTCTCTCTCTCTCTCTCTCTCTCTCTCTCTCTCTCTCTCTCTCTCTCTCTCTCTCTCTCTCT